ATATCTTAATTCACTAGGTCCATGCTGTCACTATCCGCATTACTTCGGAGGCTTTTGTATACTTTCTCCTCCAAAGGAAGGGATTCAAAGAAGTTCTATTTATTTATTTATTTTGACTTAGGTAAGTATTCATGCACATTTGACAATTGCCACCACGAGCTCCAACTACTCACATCCCTTTTGAGAAAGGAGATGTTGTACCATTGGACTCGTGGTCCATTAGAATGGGTTTGAAGAGTTAATTTTTTGGTATTTCTTTCAAATTTGAAGAGTAATAAGCAAGTCCAATAGTTATAAATGTTAAATTAAGGGCTAAAATCGACCCTTATATTGCACTCCACTAGTTATAAATATGTAAGCTTAGTGAGAGTGCCTTTGCCACAACCTTTTTCACATTCTTAACAAGGCAAAGAAAAATTAAAATAAAAATCATTTAGAAAAAAAATTTAACTTTTTATTAAGGACATTTTGGTCATCATAATATAATTCTAAAGGCTAACTGAGGTCGAGAAATCCTATTGTAACAATTGGATAATTTGGGAGGGTTTTATGTCAAATTTATTTATTTATTTTGGTAAGGATTATTGTGCCAAAAATTGAGAGTGGAGGGAGGTTTTATGAAAAAAAAAAAAAAAATTTTAATCTTGGCGAGGAAACTATAAAAGTTGCAACCTAAACAAGGTTGTAAAAAATAAAAATAAAAATTGGGGGCAACCCATTGGCTCTTCATTAGGTGTAACAGGGTTGGAGGGAGGTCCACAACCTACACCTTATTTCCTTCCATGTTCATGGCCCCCCAAAAGTAGGATAAGAGAGAGAGGAAAGTGATTAGTTTGGATGTTTAAAAAAAAAAAAAAAAAAAAAAAAAAAAAAAAGGATAATTGCATAGGTAAAACAAAAAAGTTTACTTCTCTTTCTCTCTCAATAAAAACTTTAGATGTGACCTCATTTCAGGTGCTTTAATCTAATGATCGTATGGAAAGTTCTCTGCACGCCATAATCATACTAAAAGAAAGAACAAGATAAATGATACAAGGAGAAAAAGATTAAGATATTTCACTCAAATTTATTAACATTTTTAGTTTAAGTGTTGTTTGATTATTTAATTTAGTATTTAAATTTAGAATTTATTAAACGCTTATTTAATTAAATGCGTTTAACAACTCACTTTGAATATAGTTGAAAACTGTAAGCGCCACTTAGAATGAGGTAAATTTTAAGTGACAGAGACATGACTTAGGTGCTGTTTGATTATTCAATTCTTAATTCTAAATGTATTTCGCGCTTATCTAATTAAGTGCGTTTGATAACGCACTTTAAATATCGCTGAAAACGGTAAGCGTCACTTTAAATAGGGTAAAATTTTAAGTGACAGGGACATTACTTATCATTAAATGCTGCACATTGAAAATTAAAAAAATATTTGGTTTTTAATTATTACCAGCTCTTAAAAATTTCAGTACTTAATTTTCAGTTTTATCAAACAACACCTTATTACTAAATGATAAACGCTGAAAATTCAAAAAATATTTAGTTTTTAATTACCACTTACAAACTTCAGCTTTTAAAAATTTTAGTACTTAATTTTCAGTTTTATCAAACAACACCTTATTACTAAATGATAAACGCTGAAAATTCAGAAAAATATCAAACAAAATATTTATTTTTTAATTGACACTTAAAACCTTCAATACTTAAAATTCAGTTTTTAAAATTTTTCAATACTTATTTTGGCATGGAGCTTTTCAAACCAATTGAACATTTCTTTAGATTTTGGATAATTTGTATCTGAAATTAGGTCCCTCCTCACATCCTTGTATGGAGAATCAAAAATTATTTTGTCCTTCTAATATTTATTTATTTATTTAATTGACTTTGTTAAACCTAGTTTAAGAAAACTATGAATCAAATGAATGTTCAAACTTTTTAATTTTTTGTTTAAACCAAAGTATACTCAAAAAAGACTTTCGATTGAACGTGTGAACAGGGGTATGGTCAAAGTTGTCTTTCAAGCCATCTCTTTGCTTATTGGAACAAGTGACGTGTATGGGTTGCTAACTTGATATTGTGATACAAGTCCTCATGAATATGCCAAACTTTGTTACTGGAAATTCCAAATGGATGACAACTTTATTTTTCTCTCTTGACAGTACATTGATAGCATATTCACCAATTTTCTGATGAAAAAAGGGTAAGCAGTCCTGTAAAGCTCCTTTTCTCTGTGAAACACAGTATTGCCTACTCCTTCACTACTGTATAATCTTTTGGCCTAAACACTGGCTTCAAACAAACAATATCAATAGTGTATAATCTTTTGGCCTGTACACTGGCTTCAAACAAACAATATCAATAGTGTATAATCTTTTGGCCTATACATTGCCTTCAAACAAAGAACAATCACCTCCTGATATAACAGCTCGGTGTTTCATTCTCTTTTCATTTTCATACACAGTACTCGGGCTCATACATATCAGAAATAAGATATATATATATAGAGAGAGAGAGAGAGAGAGAAATGGAGATCTCGAGAGATTCAATAGGGTCATCTCAGTCTTTTACTTTAAAATTTTATCACTTGCATGGATAAATTTCACTTTCATAAACTTCAACAATTTAAATAATGAATTTCATCATTTTAATGGATTTCAACATCATAAATTTCACCAATTGTAAAAAGGTCAAAGTGCACTAAATCTCTTTACTATAAAAAAAAAAAAAAAAAAAAGAGTGCATTAAACCCCCCTAAACTATGGGGGTATTGCAACTAACCCCCTGAACTTAAAAAAATCCTCTGAACTTTTACTTTTTGGCAATTTGCCCACTTAGGCCACCGGAAAAGATAAAAGACAATTTTACCCTTATTCAAAACTACATCGTTTCTATCTCCCTCTCTCTATTTATGTGTGTGTATATATTATAATATATATATATATACATATATATACTATATCTCTGTACGAACCACAAAAGACACAGAGAAGAGAGGGAGCACATCGATCTCGCCGGCCATTTATGGCGCCACCTCGTTCATGTCGTTATTGACCAGCGACACCGATGGCAAGCAGCCGTCGTCCTCGTCGGTGTTCCAGATCACCAACATGTCCCATGTGTCCTGCGAAAAACAGAAGAAAAGGCGGCAGAGACCCGAGCGGCCGAGATGGATCATCACGGCCGAGTCCTCACCGGACGACCTTTTCACATCCGACCTCTTCACGGCGGCAGACGACGAGAGCAGATCTGACATCCCAGTGTTGTCGACGGCGCAGACGGTGATGGTCTCCCGTAACTCCTTATGCCACACCCAGCGCGTCCTCACCGCCTCACCGGTAACTCCTTGTACCGCTGTCCTCTGTCCTCGTCCGTCGTTTCTGGGTTCGACGGCAGCAAAAAAATCATACCAGTTGCAGAGTTCGTGATTTGGGGATTTTTTTTATTTTTTATTTTATTTTGGTTGAATATGATTTGGGGAAATTTGGAAAAGCCATGATCAATTTCATTTTTTCAACTAGGGTAGATTGGTTGGGCAGAATGGTGACTGTGGAGGTTTTGGGTGGAGAGCGGTGATGGTTTTGGTTGAAGGTGGTGGTGGACCAGTGGTTATGGGTTACCCTTTGTGATAGGGTTCTAACCCGAAATTGATCCGTACTTTGCCGCCGTTGAATAACTAAAAAAATATAGGTGGTTGACTTTGGGAGTGTGTATATATATATACAGGCTAGATATAATATAGAGAGAGAACCATAAGTTTTTCCTTGTGTCCAGGTCACCGAAGTTGCTAAATGTTAAAGTTCTATGCTGATTTGGGTTGTTTTTTCGATTTATTTTGGATGATGATGCTCTGCTCGGTTTGGATTTGGTTTGTAAGATGAAATTCTCTGAAGTTGGGTTACAATTCACTAGCTTGAGATAATCAAAAGGAATTTTGGGTGTAATGGTGACAAAGGGGCATTATAGTCCTTTCATGTGGACAAGGGCAATATGGTCCTTTAATTTTACAATTCCCATCACGTGATAACATGTGCTATTTTTGCCGGACATAATCTACCGGAGTGGGGTGATCTGCAACAAAACACTATAGTTTGGGGGTTTTTTTTGCTCATTTAGAAATTTAGGGGGTTTTTCTGCTTATTTGAGTATAATTGAGGGGGGTTTAATGCACTTTACCCTAAAAAAAATTGCAAAATACCCCATTTATTATTTTCTTGATAACAAACATTCTCAGTTTATAAGGGTGCATAATGAGTCGGTGGAATTGAAGAACCGATTGGAACTGAATTGAACCAGTGCTTCGACGCTTCATTAGATCATGGCTAAAGCTACTCATAGCTGTCATATTAATATACTAATAAATGATATTTTAGTTATTTAACAAGGATTTCTGTCGGAATTTAAGGGTCATTTTGGGGAGGTTAAATTGGTTAATTTTGAAATGTTAAGGATACAACGTGTAATTAGACCCAACTTCAAGGGAGGTAATAATAAAAAAATATTTTGCAAGTTTTTAACAGTACAAAAACATTTAGTGCAATTTGGCTCTATTTTTTTTTAAAAAAATGGAGAAATATATATATACACACACACCGAGGATATTTCTATCCGAATCGCGGATCATATTGGGAGGTCAATTTTTTAAACATTAAGGGTACAACGTGTAATTATACCTAACTTTGGGGAGGTAAATGATATTTTTCTATAATAATAATAAAAAGATATTTTGCAACTTTTTAACAGTACAAAAAGATTTGTGCAATTTGGCTTTATTTTTTTTAAAAAAAATGGTGAAATTGATATACATATATATTATATATATACACATTACACACCAGTGAGAGAGACTCAACAGGGTTATCTCAGTCTTTCTCCCCTCTATTTCAGCTCCACACTCGAGTCTCTGAAGCGACAAAAGTGAAATATAATATTGTAATAACAACAAACCACCACTCTCGTCTCTTTATATAATGCTCCCAAAGTGAGCAACATCTTAGTAGTTGCTTCTCTCCCTCCTCCTCCTCCTCCTCTCTCTCTCTCTCTCTCTCTCTCTAGCTTCTTCTCTCTCTAGGCTGAAGGTCATGCCATCTCTACAATGGAAAATCTTGGCATTGGCCATGGTTTTGTCACAGCCAACATTCTTGTTCATGGAAGTAGACTGCTTTCTCTCTACATTCGACAAGATTACCCAGCTACCCGGACAACCCCAAGTAAGCTTCCAGCAATTTTCTGGGTATGTGACAGTTGATGAGAAGAAACAGAGAGCTCTGTTCTACTACTTTGTTGAAGCAGAGATAGATCCAGATTCCAAGCCTCTTGTCCTCTGGTTAAATGGAGGTCTACAACTTCTCCCTTGCTCACACACACACACAAAACACACATTACTATGTGAATAATCAAATATATACATCACACACACACACACACATATATATATATAGAGAGAGAGAGAGAGATTATTTGGGGTTTGAACGTTTTATCTGATTTTGGTTGCAGGGCCTGGTTGTTCTTCATTGGGGGTTGGAGCATTCTCTGAGAATGGGCCATTTAGGCCTAGTGGTGAGGTACTGGTGAGGAATGAATACAGCTGGAACAGAGGTATTATAATTTTTAAATGAAAATTATATGAAATGGGTAGTTCTAAAAAGAAACAAACAACATATTTCTAATATATGGTAATTGATTTGCAGAAGCAAATGTGTTGTATTTAGAGGCACCAATTGGAGTTGGTTTCTCATATTCAACTGAAACTTCCTATGCTGTAAATGACAAGATCACAGGCAAGTTTCTTCAATGTGAAAATTTTCTTGAGAAAAAAAAAAAAAAAAAAAAAAAACCATTTTCACTTGTTGATTTTCTTTTTAGTCAAACAAGGAAATGATGTCCTCTCCATTATCTCCCATAGTTGGTCCTACATTTGCTGAAAATCCTTCACCATACACTGTAAATTTAAGTCAACTTGTTAATAGTTATTTTTCCTCTTTCTTTCTTTTTTTTTTTTTAATATTATTTTTAAATTTTTATATTGCCTTTTCATATATTGGGTCTTTAGAATCTTTCATAATGTTGTAGTACCATGTAATAGTTTTTCACTTTTTTGTCATATTATATGGTTACTGCTTTTGTTTTCTTTTTGAAATTGGAAAATTTCCAACTTTACAGAATTCTGAAACTGTCTTTGTCTTTCTTACTTTTACTCTATTATAGCCAGGGACAATCTACTGTTCTTGCACAAATGGTTTACCAAATTCCCACAATACAGAAACAGAAGCTTGTTCATTACAGGAGAAAGCTATGCTGGTAATTATTTGCAGCTCAAAACAATCCTCTCTTTTCCAAAGCAAAGCCAAATAAGAGATTAATAATTTATTTTTATTTTATTATTTTATTATTACCAGGTCACTATGTTCCTCAACTAGCACAGCTCATGCTTCAATTCAACAAGAAGGAGAAGTTGTTCAACTTGAGAGGAATTGCTGTGAGTAGTCTAAAGTTCTTAATACAAAATGTGTCCATCTTTTCATTCTAAAACCCCTAGTAAGATTTTGTTAGTTTTTGAAGATCTTCAACATAAATGTTCATAGAGACACAATGAATAATGAACTCACATTTTTTGGTTTTTTCATGAAATTTTTATCTTCCCTTAATCTGATTTTAGTTTTTTAAATTGAATTCAGCTGGGTAATCCAGTTTTAGAATTCGCGACAGACTTCAATTCAAGAGCTGAATTTTTCTGGTCTCATGGGTTGATATCGGATTCTACATACAAAATGTTCACTTCCACTTGTAACTATTCGCGGTATGTGAGTGAATATTATAGGGGCTCTACATCCCCAACTTGTTCAAGAGTGATGAGCCTCGTGACCAGAGAAACAAGTAGATTTGTGGACAAGTATGATGTTACTCTTGATGTCTGTATATCATCCGTGCTCTCGCAATCTAAAGTCCTTAATCCCCATGTAAGTTCAATCTATTAGTTTTTCCCTAATCCACGAATTGCTGTTTTATGGTTCACATATATACAAATCTACTTATTTTCGCATTTCTCTTAGTTTTCTATTCAATTCTCAATGGTTTTCTTTGGTGCCACAGGAAGCCACGGAGACTGTAGACGTGTGTGTGGAAGACGAAATTGTAAATTACTTGAACCGGAGAGATGTTCAGAAAGCTTTACATGCACAACTTATAGGAGTCAACCGATGGCTTGTTTGCAGCAAGTAATTCTCTTCCACTAACATCATCTTATGTTAAACCTCAAAATATAGAACCTAGACGCCTTTCATCATAATGCTTGTGGCAATAGGCTGCCTTAAATAATTTCAGTACCAAAGAACAAAAGTTTTCTTGTACTACATCCAAGGAAGAATTTTTTTTCAAATATAAGATTTCACTTAGTCCTCATATATATATATATATATATATATATATATTTTGTCTTTTAAGTTCTATATTTTCTAGAAATGATCAGTTCTTTGGTAGAGTTGTTTGCTTCATGATTATGTTCTTATTTTAGTGTTCTGATCACAGTATATTGGATTATGAGTTGCTCGACCTGGAAATACCAACAATCTCTATCGTGGGAAAGCTCGTCAAGGCAGGAATTCCAGTCTTGGTTTATAGGTGTTGTCTCTGACCTTCAAAGTCGTCGTGATCATATCTAAGTTCAGAGCATGATTTATAAGCTTGTTTTGGTTAATCATATACTGATTATTAATTACAGTGGAGATCAAGATTCTGTTATACCACTGATTGGAAGTCGAAAATTGGTACATGGACTGGCAGAGGAATTAGGATTGAACACCACCACACCCTATAGAGTTTGGTTTGCTGGGATGCAGGTAATATTTGCTGCAATATAACACTCATGAAATCCAATCGTTCAGGGCACATTTCTCTGAAAACAGTTATCTGTTTTTTGAGTTCTTTAGAACTGTTTTTAGAAAACTAAGCCAAACAAGCCCTAAGCAATCTGAATGGAGCTCTCTCTTCTATTGAGTCCCAAATGAGGGAAATTTTAGATTAAAAAGTTCTGATCTCTTTCTTCTTTCAGGTTGGTGGGTGGACTCAAGTCTTTGGTAATGTCCTTTCCTTTGCCACCATTAGAGGAGCATCTCATGAAGCTCCTTTCTCTCAACCTGAGAGATCGCTTGTGTTATTCAAGGCGTTTTTGGAAGGCAGGTCTCTACCAGAAGCATTCTGATCTACTGATCGGTTCGACGTGATGAATTGCAGATTGAGATTGTAAGTAAAAGTTTGTCAAAGAAAATGAGTTGTTCATCTTATGAGAGAAATGAAAATTGCATTCATTTGTTTGTCTGTCTGTCTGAGCTTGACCATCCTATGGAACTTTGAAATAGAAGAAGTTTGTAAAGATTTCAAGAAAAGGAGTACATTGGCATTTTTTCTCTGTTCCATATCTGTCAACAGAGTGAATGGTTGATCAAGATATTTTATGAAGTGAGATAGCGGACTCGGATTTTATGGTGAACTTTAAATCAACAATGCAACATGTTACACTGATAATGCAACACCCTACAACGAGAATGCAACACTTGTGCAACTACAACGTGACACTCATGCAACACATTTACATTGAAAATTCAACATTCATACAACATATTGCATCGAGTTGCAACACTTCTACGCAACATGTTACACTGATAATGCAACACCCTAAATTGAGAATGCAACACTTGTGCAACTACAATGTGACACTCATGCAACACATTTACATTGAAAATTCAACATTCATACAACATATTGCATCGAGTTGCAACACTTCTACATCGTTTTTGCATTCTCGATTTAATGTTGTTTCTTGTGTGTTGCATTGTCAATTTAAATGCTATCAAGGATACTGGATCCAAATGTGCACCAGAGAAGATTCTGTGATTCATACAATACATTCACTCAAACAAAACGTTTCCAGCTTAGGATTTTGAGACCAGTGCAAGGACAATTCAATGCCTACAAACAATTGATTCTATTTACTGATGTGCATACTAGTTCAATTCTCTGAAGCCTTACTGTTGTTCCTATAAAAAATCCACAAGCATGATGAAAAGGGAATGCAGAGGAGTGCTTGATTAACAAGGACATGTAACCACTGATTGGAACCTTTTCTATTTGTTGATGGTAAAAATTTATTCCTTTCTTAACAAGTGCAACTTAAAAGTGAACCAAATCTTAGCCAAAAGGGTAACAATAAGGAAAAGACTCCCAAGTCATCGAAACCAACTTTTCAGAAACACATAGCTTAACACTAAATATCCAACCATCTTTTAATAATTCAAAAAAAAAAAAAAAAAAAACCCTCATAGAAAGAAATATATAATGAAGAAAAGACAAAAAATTTCCTAATTCAAATACATATAAGACCATTGATAAATAAGCCAAAGTTAGGGAAATGAAGTTTATGATCACATAGTTGTACAACAACATGCAGAATGCAGAGAGTATATCTACAAGGACTCGCTGGATACATGACAATACCAACGGGCCAATGGCCTAGCGGTATCAGCCTCTTACTTCCCAAAGGGAGGTCAGGGATTCAAGTCTCAAAAGAGACAAGTGTATGTGAGTACCAACTAGGAAAAAAAAAAAGATACATGACAATAAACAGCCTCTCAGAGTTTTTAACCCTCATTTTCAGACGATTGAACTCTGAAGCTAAAATTGGCTTCAATAACATCAAGAATTGATCCCTCAATAGTAGAAAAAGAAATTCCTTCTTCTTAAAATGCTGTATCAGTTAGTAATGGATTCATTTGCTGTAATGTTCACATTAATCTCTAATTATTTATTATTTTTTTTTTCAATACAGTAAAATAAATTAATCAAGCAGTGGCAAAGAACTGTTGAAGTGGTCCAAATTTAAAACCCTTTTGAGACAGGTAATGCATTTTTAGACTAGACATATATATCAGCATATCATTATGAGACCTGTTAGTTCTCAGGAGAACATGCATCAATGACTTGGTGCTCTTGCTTTTAATCCCATTGGGATCTTAAAATTAACAAGTATTTAAAGGCAGAAGAAACCTGCATTCAATCTGGCAGGATGAGAAGGTGGGGATTATATTTCTCTAAATAGATTATATGAAGAATGGTGTAAGTCTGTTACTATTGCTGAGATAGTCAAATTGTACATGATCCAAACTATCCACTGAAATATATGAATTGAAAACTAGTTCAGTTCCAGTTACCCGGTAACTCGTATACAAGTAGTCGCTGTTTCTCTAGCCAAAAAAAAAGAAAAGAAAAGAAAAAGAACCGTGTTTTAGAGTTTGTTGAGCCTGCTTATGTATTTCTGCGAATTGCTCCTAACATGATAATAACTACTTGAGTCCAAGAATTTTTAAAGAGACAATGGATGCTATAAATCATTCTTCTTTCATATTATATAACTAAAACAAAAAAACTAATAAGTTACGAAGTTGAGAGAGATTATTACAGAACAGTATAATTTCAGTACCTACAGATGGTGATCTTGGCAACGGAGGCTATCCAAATCAAAATGTACAAAGTCACCAGTAATCACCACAAGAACACACACCTGATTTGAAGTGATGGAATCTGCTGGAATCCCTAACAACAATTTCACGTCCTGTGATCACGGATACATGTTTTGCCCAATCATGACAATCTTTGCAAGCTCGGAGATTCTTGAAAACCAGAACAGGGGCAGTACTTCCTGTAGAAATAAGTCCATATACAACTGCAAGTCTCTCACTATGGTCAAGAAGCTGTTCCTTTCGCTCTGGCAAATTGTCTGATACATCATCTTCAGTTAGAAGTGCATTCTGTTTGTCAATTGTTGAAAGTTTGAACTCCTTTAACCTTGAATATATTTCTTCTGTTTGAGGATGATGTCGATCCCCCACAATAAACCGGTGCATTTTGCCCTTGACAGTAATCCAGCTGCAACTAACCTCCTTCCTTAAATTTCTTTCAGCCATCATCTTTCTAACATTAGCTGCTTCTTCCCATTTCCCAGACAAAGCATACAAGTTGAACATGAGAATGTAAGCAGCCGTGTCTTCTGGGTCCAGTTGAAGGACATTTTCAGCTGCGATTTTTCCAAGCTTGAAATCCCGATGGATTGAGCACCCACCCAATAAACTTTTCCAGCTCATTGCATCAGGCTCAAATGGCATGGATTTTATTAATTCAAGTGCCTCCTCTAATAGCCCTGCCCTGGAGTATATATCAATCATACAATCATAGTGGTCAATTGTTGGATTCACGCCATACTCACTGCTCATGGATTCTAGATACTGCTTGGCTTCTGCAACCAGTCCAGAATGACTACAAGCAGTAAAAACTGCAACAAATGTAACTTCATTCGGCCTCACATTATAAAACCACATCCTCCTAAAAAGTCTTAGAGCTTCGGAAGCCTTACCATGATAAGCACAACCAGAAATGATAGCAGTCCAGGCCACAGTATCAGGATTGTCTATCAATTCAAAAACTCGAAAGGCATAGTCTAATCTGCCACATTTTGAATACATAGTAATCATGGCACTCTCTCCATATTGGTATGAAACTAGACCTCTTTTTATTGCATCTCCATGAGATTGGGCTCCAAAATTCAAATTTGCAACAGCAGAACATGCTTGGAAAATGCTAGTGTATATGAATGAATTTAAAGGCACCCCTTTACTCCTTAGAGAACTAAAAATTTTAATAGCTTCCTCAAATTTACCAATTTGAGAATGGCCAGAGATCATAGCACTCCATGAGACATCATTTGGTTCAGATATCCTCTCAAATGCTCGGCAAGCATTTTCCATATTTCCACATTTGACATAGAAGTCCACAAGAGGAGTACCCACTGAAACCTCAGGTTCTAACCCAAGTTTCACTATATGACCATGAATTTGCCTCCCCATTTCTATTTCATCCAATCCCGCACATGCCTTGAGGATGATCGAGAATACAAAGTCATCCAACTGGGTACCTTCCTTCACCATCTTAGCAAACATTTCCAGAGCATCCTCTTGCTTCCCAGCTTGAGTGTAACCCACCATCAATCCAGTCCAAGCTACAGCATTCTTCTCAGCCATATGCTGAAAAACTTGCTCAGCACTCTCTAAACACCCACACTTCACATACATATTAGAGATTGCCGTATCAATTGAAACAGTTGGATTCAACCCAGCTTTTATCACACAAGAATGTATCTGTTTACCAAGCTCTATACAGGAAGGATCCAACAAAGATTTCAGAAGCGCAATATATATTGACTGGTTCGGTTTAAATCCCAAGACCAACATATCTGAAAACAACCCAAAAGCTCTGTCCAACAGCCCTCCTTGCGCATAACAAGATATGATTATAACCCATGAAACCAAGCTCCTCTCACACATTTCATCAAACAATTTATCTGCATCTAAGAAACTCCCACAATCACAATACATTTGAAGAACACAATTCTCAAGAAACCCAGAAAACTTTTCAACCGTTCTTCGCATTCGATTATGAATCAACCTTCCATCAGATAAAGCCCTTAGTTTCCCGCACGTTTCAAGCAAGCATTCAAACGAGTGAGGACTAACCGAAACACCGGACTCGTCCATTTCTTTGAGAAAATCATGAACTTCCTTGAGCTTGCCTTGTCTCGACAGAGAAACTAAATGTATATTTTCGATCCGACCTTGTTGAATTTGGGGACTTCTGATTGAAGAAGTATTGGATTTGAGAGATACCCATGAAGGAATTTGAGTAAAATTAGCAGTTTTTATAGTTGAAATCTTATCAGGAGATGATAAATGTGAGGAGGGACTTGAAGGAAGTAGTGGAAGACCAGCCATTGATGTACAACATTCCATTTTTTGAGCTTCGAAGCCTTTGATTCAAAGCAGAAAATTCAAATTATCAAACAGTTGTATTTCACGATGATTTCAAATTTCAATCTTAAAATTACTTATTATGATATTTTTTTTTTTTTTTTTTTTTTTCTAGTTGGTACTTACACATGCATGCCTCTATTGAGGCTAGAGCTCTTAGATCACTGGCATATTGGTTTATGATATTAATTTTCACTAATTGAAGTAATTGTGAGTCCCTTCTGGATATTTCAATTACTATAAAGATTATTTTAGAAAATGAAAAATATTTTGAATAATTCTTGTATTTATATATCTGTTCATATATATTATGGAATTTGTGCAACCAATAATACAACAAGAATTCATATTTAATTTTTTTTTTCCTCCAAACATATCACTTTTTCTTCCTCAGGAATTTATGTTACATATATTTCGAATTATTAGTGAAGAACACATAAATAACTAAATCTTATATCAATTATCATAATGTTTTGGTCACATATTTAAATCATGAATGATTTCGATATTATTCAGAGCTATTTACAAAAATGTTGCATGTGATATAAAAATCAAATGGTGTTGGCTTGTGGGATTGGTAATCCTTGCCCTTTTAGGGTTGGTTTGGAGTTTTAACTAAGGTAATTTTGATAAAATTAAAAATGAAGTACTGAAAACCTTAAGAGATGAATTTTAAGTACTAGAATTTTTTAGTGGTATATATATATATATATATATATATATATATATATATTATATCTTTTAGAATTTTCAGTGATGTTCGTATCATTTAAAAAATTTTAACTACTATTCAAAATACTTAATCAGAATTAAACACTTAATTAAGTAATCAAACAACACCTAACTTTTAGAAGATTAAACGCGACTTTGGGCAGTATTTTAATTTCTAACGCAATTGGACGACTACTTGTATTCTTAAAAATTGAATTGTAAAATAACCCAATCAAATGGAGATCATGACTTTCCACAGTAAGATGACTTTAAAATTTAATATGAAAATGGTAATTTGATGATATTAGATTGGGATCAAAGCCAAATTGAGAATTGATGTGGGTCAAAATTCTAATTTTTGCAATTTGTCGAAATTGGTCGACGGGGCAAACTGTTCAAATTTAAATGACATAATCAAACAAATTATGAAAAATAAAAAGGCTAAATGCTCTCACACCCACTCAGGTTTTAGTTTATTACTCTCATATTAAACCTCAGCTAATTTTGCTAATACATCCTATGAGGTTTGGGTTATCTTGGTGTGACTTGTGACACCCTTTTTTTTTCAAATTGATAAAATATAATGCTTAAATTACCCTCCATGATTTTATGTAGTATAATGTCAATTTAATGGACCAAAATAACCCTAACAGGCCAAATATGGCCAATTCAAACACCACCACAACCACAGTACCATTGAAAGAGCAAAAAACTAACCGTGGTCACCCCCACCCACCAACCACCACCGCCACCACACCACAACCACCTGGGAGGGAAAAAAATTAGAAGCCATGGCCATCACTATTTTTACTAAGTCATTCATATAGAATTTACCTTATATATATATATAGAAACAAATGTTACTTTGTAACGACTCAAACTCAGAAGTCCGAATCACTAACTGGGTCCTTACCCGAACCCGAGGTCATCTAAGAGTACCATCGTCAATTCAAATGTCAAGACACCTTCAACGCACCAATACAACTCATCACATGAATCATAGTACCATTACACGGCCTAGGAATGACCTTAGGAGAGATGGATCAGGAACAAAAAAAAGACCACCAATTCGGTCGTCCGACGTGACACTTCAGTCGGACGTGACACTTCGGTCGTCCGGAATGCCCATTCCGGCCTTTCGAAGTAGTTCAGCCGATCGACCGGTTGTGGCTCAAAAAATGGCATGGCTACTGAAATTAGGACAAAATGCAACCGGTGGTCCGAATTAGTCATTTCGGTAGTCCGAAATGACTCAGCGAGGTGATATCCTGCTGTAAAGTTGCTATGAACACAAGGATGAAAAATGGCCTCAGTAGAGAGCTTGAAACTGTTCTAAACTTGTCCCAACACATGCAAAATCATGGAATACACATCACAACATCTATTTGAATATGATAACAAGATGATCATACATGATTCCTCGTAAGAATTTACAAAAGAGTTAAAGTTCATACAGTTTACAGCCCATAAGACCAAAAATTATAATTACAAGTCCACTGGTTACAATGTAATACAGTGCACATTAAGATTTTACAGAAAAAACATAGGGCTCCATACACAAAATATATAAACAGCTCTCTAAGTCCACTTATGCTTGTGGTGGAACATCGTCCGCCACTTGCAAATAACATGTGCTGTGCACTATTTTTGTTGTATACTTGTCCTTTTCTTTATGATCCTAGGGAAGTTAGGAAATTCCAAATTTAAAATTATGTTCATGTTGCTTTTGGAAGCTGAACTGGCGCCTTGAATTAGGATTGGAGAAAAATTAGTTCAAACTTTGAACTAAATTTTGGCCAATTCCATTTCCAAACGACCAATTTGATGCCCCCAAACATGGCCTCAATTTTGATTTTTGAAACGATTAGAGACTGAGCTTGGGGGTTTGTCTGGACGAACAAGGTAAAGTGAGAGGTCATGGCGGGTTGAGAGTTGATGCAATCCCCCTTCAGAAAGAATGACAAGGCAGTAAGAAACAGACTGTGCTTGGAGTGCCATTTGCATGTGGTACTCACTCTCATAGACTGGCCAAGATGCAACTTGCAGAACATATTAGGTTGGTCTCCCACCTGACATTACCACCCTTGAATTAGGCCATCAAGCCTGAAAAAACTCAAGTATCCTAATGGATAACCGCAGCATAGTGCTCTGCTATAACCATGACTGAGGATCAAATTTTGGTACGTGGACCACAACATATATACCATGGAGGGCATGTCATGCATGACTGTGTAGATTATAAAACGGTGTAAACATATTCTTTCGGATTACGAGATGCCGCACAGGGTGCATCATGACCACATGGATTATACAGTTTAATACATTTCTCGCATAGCAACTGCATGCCAATTTTAAGAGGTTCTTTGCTCGGTCTAGTACAATGGCATTTGGGGTGAATATAGACAAAACCTTAGGTTTTCGAACAGCCTTTAATATTCCTTTCTTGTTTCTTATATGATAAGTTACCGCGCTTGATTCGGTTGGCTGGGGAGACCACTGCTTTGTAAAATCGTATTGAAGACATGACATGGTATACATGTCACTATCTCCATCAGTTCTGTCTTCTTTATACAATTGCCAAGGGACATGTGTGCACTTCTGGTTTTGCTAAATGAAATAAATAGGATTCATGTAGCTGACTCCTTTCTTTGTTTGTTTGTTGTTCTTTTTTTTTTTTGTTTTTTGTTGTTGTGAGAAGATGTGCTAAGCTCAGCTTGGGGTCTGTAGACAGCTGCAGTCTCATCTAACATCGAATATTTCATCAACTAAACCTGCATCATACTGGTGTATGCGCTGGGAGCATTTCCTTTTTTATTCAATAGAAGTTGCTAGACCTGTTTCTCATTTCGCCCCAAAACTAGAGTAGGTAATTTAGCAGTTTATGGATGGTTTACTTGATAGCCATCACCCGCCGAGTCTCCCTCTTGCTCGTCGGCCGCTGATCCAAGCTTACTGCCCCCGCGAACCGCTTTCAGTTCCGTCCGAGTTCTCCTTGATCGCCGTCCATCTTCATCCTCGCCGGTCCGTCACCGCCTTGCCCACCGCAAGGCCACTGCCGTTCAATCCCACCGAGTCCTCCCTCTTGCTCGCCACCCGCAGTTCACCGGCCGACCTCTCCACAGCCAACCCTCCATCGCCGGTCAGACCATCACGGCCGAGCCCTCCACTGGCCCAGCTCACCACTGCACCAGCCCGTCTCCACCGGCCAAGCTCGCTGTCGCCGTCTCCGTTTCTCCACCATCCGAGCAGTGCCAAAGTTCATCCCCAACCCATCTTGCCCACTGTGATGCCAAAGGTTGTGGTGATGGCGCTAGATCGAATGTAATTCTTTTGAGAAAGCAAGAGACATCGGGGAAATCGCTTTACTTTACTTCTATCTTTCCATTTCTTTGTCCTCGTTAAATCCAAGAACCAAACTCGCCAATAATTGTTTCAATTTACAGTATTTTCTTTCACCCCACTTGTTCCAAAACCGAAAAATCACAAAACGAACTCACAAAGAGTAAACATAATTGGGCCTATTGTGATCTAAATTTGGTAGGGGCATTTTTGGTATAGTAAAAGGGTAAAATGGACATTATATTAATTGAGGGATGTTTTTGTACAAATTGAAAAAAACAAGGGTGTTTTTTGCACACCATTTTAAATAGGAGATAAAAGTGCTTTGAAAGGTATACTGAAGGGTGATTTTTGCACTCCCTCCATTTATATATTAGCAAAGTGGTCCTTAACACTCTCTTTATTTGATATAAGTTATAACTTGTAAGGAATAATATTCTAGTTGTTTGCGTATTTTCTTTCTTAATTGTTTCATCTTGCATCAACTGGAAATTGAAAATTAATTTTACCAAGTCAAACAATTCTTGTCTTTAACATGTTAATTATATTTTTTTGTAACAATTTTATTTGATAGCTAGACCTTGTCAGGCAATATTGATTGTACATCTCAAGTAAAGGTCAACTAAAACTGAAATATTATTGAAATAATGAAATTCCATTTTTTTTTAAATAAAAATAAAAATTATGGCATTCAAATTATGTCTCTGCTGTCCACTGACTGCTAATTTTGTAATTTAAATCTTTTTAATTGTTTGATATTATCCAACAGTGAAAAATATTGCAAAAGTAATCCTCTCTTAGGCACTTGCGTATATTTGAATTTTGGCTGCTTTATTTTTATTTTTATTTGTATGAACACAGGCATCCGAATATGAATGGATAGAAGCATCAGAGGATGAAGATGATTGTGAAGATTACGAATGCAATAGTGGAGGTGACAGTGATGAGGGTAATGATGACGACGATGATGTAGAGGTGCCTCTCTTACTTTCATGGTTCAGAGAGAATCCATGTCTTCAACCAGATACTCTCTCTCTCTGTCTCTGTCTCTCTCCCTCTCTCTCTCTCTCACACACACACACACGATCAACGTTTATATTTACCTTT